TGCAGCACCACGCCTTTGCATTACATCTTGACAGAGGTTGCTATAGGAACTCGAGTCAGGGCAGCATGACATACAAAATCAGAACTGCTTAGAAATCTTTACGTGTTCATCTTGGCAGGCTGTTCGAAGCTGCAATAATTATTTGGGCTCAAAATAAATAGAACACTTTTGCGAGATTTCCATGTTGAGGTCCACTTAGCAAAGATCCTCCAGAGACAAAAAGTTTCACAGGGGAAAAAATAAATAGAAACAAATAATATAATTTCATTATGAACAAACAAGATTAATACAAGCCTGTTCTCATCTGAAGTAAACAAGATTCGGAAGATAAAGTTAAATGGGTAAAGCGTTCTGAGAAAACACAACTTGGAACGTTGAAGATATTGATTGGATAAAAGGGATTTAATTTGTTGCTTTTATAAATGTCCAGACACTCATTTATTCATTAAAAAATAAAAAAGTGCAAGGGTGTGCCAAGAAATATAACTGAAATGTAACTATTTTGTTATTAGAAAGTTGTTTTACTAACTTTTGGATACCTCACAATTGGGGTCAGTTTTCTTTAAAGCGACACTGTCATGCCAAACTTACCTTTCCCCAATCGATTTCTCTTCTCTCCCTCTCTCAGGGTCTGTTCTTCATTTCTTCCTGTCTGCTCTAGTTTTCTTTAAAACATAAGACAAAGTAGGGACTACTTGTCTTACTGAGGTTTCCTTCGCCTAACCAGCTATGACGGACCAGCGGAGGAGCAAAGTGTGCTTAATTTCCGGTGGTCAGATAATATTTTTCCCACAATTCATAGCTTTCCTCCCTGTTCCCGCAATGTTTCCTCTCAGTATTGCCGAACGTCCTGTCACTTAGACAGAGCGTCGGCAAAACTGTCGAATTTCGTCCTAAAAGAATGAGAACAGTTTCTCCATTCGTGTTAGGACGCAATTCGGGACTTTGTTCGTATCGGAATTTCATTCGAATTAATGAAACTCCGATCCTATTCATGCTGCGGCTGCATCTTGCAGCCGCTTAGTAGATAACTCACTAATTTACACGGTATTAGGGAGCTATCTACCAAAATGCTGAAAGACCTAAATTGGTCTTTCAGCCAAATGTACTAATACTAAGTAAAGATTACTTAGTATTAGTAAATTCAGCCCCTACTCGCTATATCGTGAGTAGGGCCACGTCTAGTAAACAGTGAGCAGCCACTGGTTAAAAAAAAACTAAAAAACACACCTCCCCCTCCCGAGCCCCCACCTGTGCCGCGTGAGTGTGGGCTATTAAACTGAAAGGGGGACCTAGAGCCCTGAGCAGTGGGTGGGGGCCCTAAATGTGAATGAGGGTGGGGACCTATTGTCCTCCCCCTCTGGCCCCCACCCCTGAGTGGCAGGGGGGGCCCTAAAGGATAATGGGGGGGACCTATTGTCCTTCCACCGGCCCCCACCCCTGAGCGGCAGGTGGGGGCCCTAAATGAGAATGTGGGGGGGGACCTATTGTCCTCCCCCTGGTCCCCACCCCTGAGCGGCGGGTGGGGGCAATAAAGAACAATAATGGGGGGGGACCTACTGTCCTCCCCTTAGCTCCACCCCTGAGCAGTGGGTGGGAGCCCTAAAGGATATTGTCCTCCCCCCAGGTCCCAACCCCTGAGCAGCGAGTGGGGGCCCGAAATAAGAATGAAGGGTGGGGCCTATTGTCCTCCCCCTGGCCCCCACCCCTTTGCGGCAGGTGGAGGCCCTAAATAACAATAAGGGAAGGGACCTTTTGTCCTCCACCCCGGCCCCCACTTCTAAGCGGCAGGTGGGGGCCCTAAATGAGAATGTGGGGGGGGTATTGACCTCCCCCCCGGTCCCCACCCCTGCACAGCGGGTGGAGGCGCTAAATAATAATAATGGGGGGGACCTATTGAACAGAAATCACATTAGCCAGCCCAGAATTATTGTTCTGGGCTGGCTAATGATCTCCCAATGAGGCATACAGATTACAGGCACCATGACCACTTCAAATGAGCAAAGTACGTCCCAATCCAGTTTATTACAGGCACAGCAAATGCATATACCCCATTGGAGGGGGGAGAAACATCTAATTTCTGTTTCTCCTTCTCTTTCTATGTTAATTGACAGGTAATAAAATGGCGGCTCTCAGTTCCAGGATAGAACTCACTCTATATTTTTATAAATTCCTCTAGCCTGACAAACACATATTTGATAAATATACATAAACGTGACATTAAAAATCAGTCCCTGGGTATGATAGTTCCCTTTTAACTAAAACCGTGCCTCAAGTTGTTAACTAAAGTTATCAAGTCGTTGTGTAGTCTGTCATTTGGCCTCAGTGGAAATGAAATGTATTTAATTTACTTGCTAAAATAAGATAATAATAAAATGGTGTTGGGGGAAAAAAATGACCAGTTCCCTAGAGTGCTTGCAAAATTAGCAGCCATGATTGATCAGTGTAAACCCTTAAACTTTCCAATTATCAAGTATAATACAAACAACAGACACTCTCAGCTCTTTGTGAGCTTCCCTTAATACAGGGGTAGGCCACCTTCACCACTCCAAATGTGGACTACATCTTCCCTGATGCTTTGGCTGTAAAAAACATTACGTGAGATGTAGACTACAACATCTGGGGTATCAAAGGTTGCCTAGCCCTGCCTTTATTCAACAAATTAGTACGTGAATTACCTTGGTAGCTATGTGCAATCTCTATGGTCGTAGGAGTGTGATGACTCACACGATAGTCGGAGCTAATGCAGACTATGTTCCACTTAGTTTTAGCTAAGTAATATGATTACAGTAATCCTTTGCCACTAAAAAAAAAATATCTAGTTCTTGTATAACAGGTTTTGGAAACAGTAAGGCATCTAGCTCTTCCCCAGGTTCATCCAACACCCCACCATTCACAATATCTCAAATAAATACTGAAGAAAATTGAGGAACCATAACTGTAGTATGATCTACTCAGGGAACTTTCTGTCTTACAGTCTGTACACCGACCCATATGGTGACAACATATTGGATGAAAGTCCTAGTGTGCTTTGTGTGCTTTACATCCATCTAGGTGTAGCTTCTCCCAATAACTGTATTCATTCTGTATCTTGGCATGTCAGTGGATGATGTATCAGTGTGGAGAGCTTAGAAGTTCAAGAATTTCCCAATGAATTACCACTGTGTTATCACTCTCTGACAGCCAGGCTTTCAGTTCATATGTTACCATATTTGTTACACTTAATGACTATCCCAATATGATGCATAGCTGACCACATTGCCATACATGGATATCATACTGTCCCAGAACCCCAATGCACAACCGCAATGCAAAAAATCTCAGGATGTACTTTCTATCCAAGGATTATGATACCAAATATAACATTCTCACAGTAATTTACAAAGAAGTTGGCACACAAGGAAAATGTCTCAGTTTGATGAAATAACTACCCAAGAAACTGAAATAATCTTAACATATCATCAATCACTGACAGGCAGGAAAGGATCTGGTGGCAGCGAGAATCCTATATTTTTTGTCTCCAAATGTGTGCAGCGTTGTGACGTAAAGACTAGACATTTGCAGTAAGTTAAAATTCACCTGTCACGGATTCCAAAATATGGATGAAAACATTGTGTAGAAGTGTAGAAATCATTTAAATACATACTGTGAAGAAATCTTCAATGGAAACCTTAGTGAATTGTCTAGAACCAATTGCATGTATAATTCTTTATGTTAGAGCAGCGTTTCCCAATTGGTGTCCCACGATGTTGATACACTATGTCAACGGGTTCCACGAGAAAAATTAATTGGGAACCCCTGTGTTAGAGAATACTGGAATGGCATTTTTCTAAATTTTTCACTAATTTCCCATCCTGTCCACAATCTAACTCCACCCATGCCACCAAAGGGTGAGTGCACCTTAAAAAAACAAACAAACAAAAAAAAAAACATTGTGGTGATATATTACAGCCTTCCCCTGCCCTCCATTCATTTGAGGTGGGTGGGGATATAAAATGTACACTGGGGGGCATACCTGTGTCCCCCCAGCACCCACGTATGGGTGGTGTATGTGCCTTTAATATTTAACAGGGTGTACACTAAACTGTAATACCCAGGCCCCACCAATGGGCATTGGGTGGGGCTACTAATATTCAATTGGGGCATCTGGGTAGGGGTTACTAATATATATGGGGGGACATTCCTTTCACTGGAATTTTAAGGGAGGAAAGACCTTTATAAAGACTTTGCCACAATTTGAAATGTGAGAAATGCGACTTGCCTGTAAAACTGCTCTGATTGTTTGTAAACCAACAAACCAGAATTCTCTGACAGGTAAAGCTCATCTGTCATGTATAAAAAGGGGCATTGATTCTCAGGATAAATCAATTACCCCACCTTGAATCACTGATGATGGGCAGATCCATGTGGAAAGACATGCCATTCTGACCAACCTCCTTCATATCAATGTAGAAGACCATGCAGGGAGCATGGTTCTCTCTGCATGGTCCTGATGTTCATATAATGCGCTTGCTCGATGCTGCCTGGAGACAGGACACCAGGGAACTAAATCGGAATGCTGGGACGGGACCATAAAATTGGGACTGTCCCATTAAATCAGGACAGCTGAAAGGCATGATGTTGTAGCCACTTTTTATATTTTTTTATATTTTTATTTTTACTTAGTAATTTTTTCAGATCATGTGTGATATATACATAAATATGTGAACTGTGAGCACAAGTAAAATGAGGCGCTGAACAAATAAGCATAACCTATTCGGTAGTTAAAATATCACTTTATTGAAAAAGATACTATATATCCTGTATATACATATTATATTTCAATATAGACAATACAAGAGAACCCCAAGATGCTCAGGGTTGTGCTGAAATTAATACAAAGAACACAATTAATTCAAATAGCTGTTTGGTGGTGCAAAGAAAATTACAATCCTTAAAATGTAAATATTTTATAATATTTTTTTCTTTCTTTTATTTGCAGTTTATGACTATTTTACCGCATCTTTGTGTATGTCCTTATGTGTGTGTCTATATGTGCATATCTGTGGTTCTATCACTTTGTATCTGTGTGTCACAGTGTGCATCTTAAAGTGTCAGTGTGTGTGCCAGTGTATATATTTCTTTGTGTATATCTCTGTATGTTTTGGTGTAATCTGACTGTGTGTGGCTGTGTGCATTTGTATGTGTTTTGTAGTGTATATCAGTGTGTGTATGTCTGGCAGTGTGTATTTTTATCCTTGTGTGTGTCTATGAAAGTGTGCCTCTGTATGGAAGCTGAGAATCTGTATCAATGTTTGTTTTAGTGTATCCATATGTACAAATTTGTGTCTGTGTGCATGTCTGGGAGTGTGCGTCAGATGGACGCTGCAAAATTGATTTGTAAGTGGCTCCACTATATCTGATAGCAGTTTAACTTTTGATCATCCCTGGTGAGTAATTTATACTATTTAATAATGGACTTAAATGAAACAATAAAAATCTAAAGAGTTGAATTAAATAATAAAGTTTTAGCAAAAATAATTGAATCCCAACAAGTAGCCATTAAATAAAAATTAACGCACTCTGGTAAAAACACAGTGTGTCTAATTATCATTTTCTGTTCTGCTGCTCCACCAGTTTGGGATAGAATGTGATATTTAGGTAAACATAGTACATGTGCATAAACATACACATTTTACTGTCAATATTCTTTCTGTGCTCATTCTATAAGCTAAGACTGCTGCTCTCCTAAATATTTACTACACACAGATTACTGCAAAGTAGTAACATTATATCAAAGGCCAGGCCACATAGGCTTGGTACGGTGCCTTAATAGAACTTGATAGGAGACACAATGTTGACTCTTTTTTTCCTGATTTAGTATATATTATTTTATGCGAAATCCAGAGTATACCCCATATATGAACTAATTCATTTTGTTTAAGCGTACATTTTTTGGTTATTGGTGCTAACAAATAATTGAAATCTGTACCGAAGAAATGAGTCAACCCAAGCAGAGAAATATATTATGTCCCTAGTGTCCCCCAGTGGTCATATGTTGAGCTGCATGATTAAAAGAAAATACTGCAATAATTATTAGCTATTTATTATTAGCATTTATATAGTGCCAACATATTCTGTAGCCCCTTAAATTATAGAAATGTGATATTTAGAGGTGAAAAATGCCCTGCTCAAACGAATTTACAATCTATGGGGATTTGAGGTAGACATATATATATCGTTAGGTGTCTTGCCTAGGGACACTTACTGGTTTGCCAATGTTCTAACCAGCTAACAGTTAGTTATAAGTATCCTTTAAATTGATTCTACTGCCTCTGTGGAACCACTCAGTGCACAAGAGTTATCATCTCCTTTAGATACATCCAATAAACACATATCTATTGTGTATAATGTTATATAACTGGCGCAGTGGAAATATGTCCAAAGGCAATAGAAGAAGAAAAAAAAAGAAAAATAGAAACGTGAATGAATTTTCAGGCAATATCTAGATACTGTCCACAATATAGTCTATTCTGTATTGATTCACATCTTCCTTTAGGCTGTTATAAAAAGTCTATTACAAAAAGTATAACCTCATTTTTTTCCCAAACATTTACTAAAGCCCAATTTTCTCCTCTCAGTTATTATTCCGCAAACGCATTGTTAGATATAGAAAATAACATAGCAGCACAGCCTATTTGCAGCCATAAATTCCTTTTTGTTTCATGTATATAATGGTTTTGAGTTTTTATTTTGCAGTTGGGCTACTTAATATTTTAATACTTAATATAAAAAACATAAACTGCAAATCTGTGGTTGTGTTAATGAAGGACAGAATATATGACAATGAACTTCATTTTTTCAATTCTGCTATTCTGAATGGTTACAGTTGATTAACTCAAAATGACTGACATTATCATTTCACAGATATGTGTTAAAGGGATAATGATTACATATGAGAGACTACAAATGAAAAATCATATCTAAGAAGCCCGATTAGAAAAATAATTGCATAGACGGAGCAGATCCTAGAGATAATAAATATACTATAATAGTCTTTAGAATTTAGAATTATTCTGATTTCCTATTCAAAGGAGCACTTCACTGCCCAGAATAATAAAAAAAAAAAATGACTACAAACGAATGCTTTGGTAGATATTCCCACATGAAAACATGCAAGCTTTTAAATTATGCATTTTTCAATGGCATTTTTTCTAAAAAATACCTTGCAAAAGTTGCAGATTTCTTGTCTGCAGCCTTTGCAAGCCCTCCCCTTCTAGCCCCGCCTATACTTTCTGTAACTTTCCAATCACAGACTTCCCATTGCAGCTTACTGAAAAGTATTCGCAAGGCAGGTGTTCTGGGTAATTGCCTGTATCTTGAGTCCTTAGCTTCACTGGGCTAAACACCCGAAAGTAGAATAACTAGTTGCCTGGTTGACACCCAGGGGGTGGAACAAGGTTAATTCATTAAAGTGCCATTTTTGCCTCCCTGTTTATAGAAGATGCCATTACAACCTACCTTGCTAACATGATTTGATTACTTCTCTCTCTTTTATTTTACATTTTGCACAGCGGCTAAGTTATAGTTCCAGTGGTATATTCACTTTCATACTTACTATTTTCAACGTGTCTGGATTGTAGTATGTGCCTAACAGCTTGGCTTGTATCGAGCGTACAGGCAAGTTGGCCTATTCTTCACACATGAAACACTTCAGCAAACTGAAGTAGGCTATGGGGGTCTACAGTGTCCCTTTAACACTATTCATTATAGTGATTGTTTTTTTATTTATGCATTCAACATGTATCTAAAGTATGTAACTATAAATGTAACTGTAAATTACCATGTGCTAATGAAATACTTGTGATTGTATTTGTTTTATAATTTTTACTTTGTATTTAAAGGATCTAGCTTTAACCCCTTAAGGACCAAACTTCTGGAATAAAAGGGAATCATGACATGTCACACATGTCATGTGTCCTTAAGGGGTTAAAGGGAAACCATCACCTATCTGGTGATACACCATTTACAATTATCTATAAACTAACATTTACTCCTATGATGCTGTGGCTTTATTTACATTTCTGTGACAGATTTAGAACATTTCATCACAATCCAGGTCAGACAAGGCACAATCCAGGGCACACATTGCAAGTGAGGAGGATAAATAGCAATATACAGGGTTATTCATTAAACTGAGATTTTAAGGCAATTCAAAGTGAATTTCCAGTTTAAGGCCAGAGTAGTTGAATTCAAAGCACAGCTGACTGAGGATTTTTCCGCTTTCACTATTTTGACTATTAACTTGAAATTCACTTGAAATTGTCTGTAGAGCAAAACCCTGAGTGATTTCATTTCTTCTCTGTACTCGTCTGTTTGGAGACACCCAATCGTAGGATTAAGAGATGTGGATTTCTACATTGAATTACATTTTACAGACCACACAAATCCATAATTCAGTTTTGATGGGGAAAAAAATGGTTGTCATTTTAAAGGGTTTAATTTTATAGCAAACTAATGCTCAAACTGTACAGAGAAGGAGCAACCAAATCGGTGCAGAGGTCTCTATTGGCGACACATCACATCACAGACCGCAAACAAGCTTTAGTAAGCTAGCTAGCACTATTGCACCCGAAAGTGCAAGTATGACACAGTCAAGGAAAAACTTGATTCAAAAAATAAAATGTAATATACATGTATGTAGAAAGCAGATAAGGATAGAGGCAGTTTTCATTTTGGCGTCAAATTTCAATGTAGCTTTAGTTATAGTCTATTGACTAAAAAGCCATTTTAGTTTTAGTCATATTTTAGTCATCTGAATTTTTTAGTTTTAGTCAAATAAATCTCCAGTAGATTTTAGATATATGTCTCTTTTGACCCTTCCCCAGCTCCTCTGTGTCTTTTTGTCCTCCCAGCCCCTTGAGGTGTCTCATAAATTGTAGTCGACTAAAATTTGACTAAAATTGTTAGTCTACAAAATTACCACTGGATAAAGGGGGCGGTTTTCTAGATAATTTCCTTTACTGGTTAAAGCAGAAATGTTACTTCACTGTAATTTTTTTCATTTCTCACTCCAATATATGTAATTCAAATGTTTACTGGGGTTAACAATGCAGGAAAGGTAAGTTTAAAAAAAAAACATGCTTAAAAAAAATAAAAACTTTAAAAAAATTTGTAAAAAATAAATAGCAGAACCGATTTGCTCTCACTAGTGATCGTTCTGTTTTATGAAAGATGACATAGTTGTCTCTCAAAAAAAATTGCATTTCAACAAGGAGATACAAAAATATGATTAATGATTCATTTGTGTACTTTTTTTGAATAGAGGATTGATTTTTTTGTGTGAGAAATTGTATATAGTTATATGTGTTAAAAGATGAGGTTAGGCATCTATGAAAAATCTATATGCTATTAATGTCAAATGAATGAATTGGAAAAAATCTCTAAGTCAGCTATGCTTCCACTTTGGCTACTTTGCTCTAAAAATTTTAAATTCACTTTTAATTCACTTTTGATTCTGACTTAAGTGAATAACCCTGTCAGTTCCATCCGAGGATCGAGAAAATTGATGCCAATAAAGTGTGATAGGAATGATGCTATCGTGATTTCTCAGAAGATGAAAAGGACCATAGATGTTGAAAGGGCCGTGGCAATTATCAAGCTGTTTAAAAAAAAAAAACTGTTTTATTCTTAACAGTGTGATAGCACCCGAGAAAAAATGGCTTGGTGGTTCTATAAAGGTTACGCGGATACAGAAGATTGCATTAACAACTCTCATATAGTCAACTAATGTTCTAGAAAGAGATGTTCGGTGTAGTTTAGAGATAAACTTTAGAATAAAGGAATAGGTGGCTACTTCAGAGAGCAGCATTATTAGCTTTGCCATCTTTCTCTAGTCCACCCCACCCCTAATGCCTCTCTATCATGCAGTTAGAATGCTGCATGACCAAGTTGCAATCACTCCCATTCCAAACAACTGTCTCTTTAAAGATCCAATCTAGGCAAGACACCTTATAGTTGGTGAGCTTGTATGAGAGTATTTATCTGTGTACATTCCTTCTCACATCTACTATGATATACCCTTCTATTTATTAGATCCCTCCACACACCCAGCCATATACCCCAACTCAACTCCCATTAATTGACCTTAAAACACTAAGACCTATACCCCCAACTTACCTCCTAATCATTAATCCCACCACACACACACTGTCACATACATGTAACTCAGCGCCTGTTCATTAACACCCAACATCCTATCACACATTCCAGCTCTTTTTTATTAATCACCAAACACTGTCATATACCATCAACTCACCTACTATACATTGATACCCAAATACTCTGACATATACCCCCAACTCACCTTCCATGACTTAACCTTCACACACCATGTAATATACCCCCAACTCACTTTCCATTCATTTACCCTTACACACCCTGTAATATACCCCCAACTCACAACCTAGTTACTAAAGGAATACTCCAGGCATCATAAAAATGTAATCCAAATGAAGTTGTTATGGTACCAGGAAGTCCCTGGCACTGGCCTACATTCAAGGGTTAAACTGCCCCCAAACTTCAGTTGTATTCCAAAGCTTAAGACTGGAAGCTCCACATTCATAAAATGGAGAAAAGTATGTACGATTCAGTGGTAACCCTATCCGAGATGAAAGAAGACTTTGGGGTCAAACCATTCATTAACTGTTTAACCCCAGAAGGTAAGCCAGCACCAACATGCCTCCTACCTATCCCGATTTCTGTGTACAGTCCTAATTATCTGGTGATGTCCTGCCATCTCAACTTTGTTCACTGGTATCAGGCTGTTGGAGACACCAGGAAACTGCCCACAAGAAGTGTATCACAAGCGTAACATTGGACATTTTTGTGCTACCCTCAGGGTATTAGTTTTAGTGCTGCCTGCATAAACAGCACTGAGTGCCTGATTGATTGGCAAGCAGCCAGGCTTATATGCCAGTAATTTGGGCGAACTCGTCCCCCTTTCTGGACAATCGCATCACTACCATGCTTCCTTGACACCTCCCACCAATATCTTGCTTCTTGGGATGCCAATGTTGGGGGTATATGCCAGGGACCTCATTGCTTTCTTTTGTAAGGCCGCAGGGGCGGCAATCATTTCCATTACGATGAAGTGATTTTGGTCTGTCCATTCAACCTAAATATTGAGCATTAATTGAATATACTGAATATTTTCCTCAGCCTCTTGTAAAATTTTAAATTTAATAATTAAATAATTTCTTAGTGTACGTCAATTTTGAATATTATTGTTCCTGTAAAAAAACCAACAAATGTTTTCTATAAATCAGTAATCAACCAACAGGAAGCAACGTAAATACGGAACACTTAAACTATTTAGGCCACATTTATGGCATTTGCTTATATTGTCCCTTGGGAAGATTTTGGCTGGCTGGGTTATTTGCTGTTCACAGTTACCTTTGTTACCGTGGATGGAAAAAAAACACAAAAACACACATATTGCAATGTCCATATGGAGGATTCAATGATACACCTGTCACTTATTAGCATTATCTTTCTGTAGCCTTCAAACTATATAGTTAAAAGTTCAGAAAGGCAAAGCCAACATCACTAGAGTAGCAATAAAATTATGGTTGAACATTGGTTTTAAAGGAACACTCCAAGCACGTCATGCTCACTGTAGTGGTTATTGTGCCAGGAGTGCCCTGGGACCCCCCCATTGTTTGTTGTCTCTACTGACGATAGAGAGCAGTGAGGCCTTAGCTCATTAGCTGAGTACAATTAGCTCATATTTTCAGCCAATACCAAACCAGTGTTCAACTGCGGTTTCATTGGGAACCCAGTGATGATGAGTTTGATAGGCTGACAATGTAATAGTTGTAGTAGGTGCTTGGAATATTCCTTAAAGACAATATTGTGTTCTCCCTACGAGCACAAAAAATATTTGATAAGTTTTATTATTATTATTGATCAGTTACTAACACTAGATTGTACTGTATGCCGAAACTAATTAAGCAGATGTAAGTAAAATGTAGATTAACTGTTATGCTGCATAAACTTTTCTCATGTTATCTAATGTCATCTGATGGAAAAACATACAATCTCAGGTAATGCAGGATGCTACAGAACATTTCTGGAATCTATTTTACAATCAGTGTTATCTTAATTAGCTTTGTGCACGGCGGAAAGATTTGTTTCGGACAAACCATTTTTTCCCAAATTAAATTTGGTTCAGGAACTCTGACACTCATGTAGTTGACTGTTTGGCTCATCCAAATATCATCCATGCAAAATATTCGGAAAAACAATCAGACAAAAAATAATGGGGCTAAAATGGGGCACTGGTGCTTCGGAGATATAGAATTCCGATGAACAGCCGGTCGGCTTAAATTTGATAAATGGCATTATTGTTAAATAGATTTGAGTAATGCTGGTTATCTTGTGTTAAGAATAAAATGGAACAGATGTACTAAATTTCAACTTCTGTTTCAACTGTCAAAAGTATAGACAAATAAGTCAATGGGACCTGATGGAATACACCCAAAGCTATTAAAAGAGCTTAGTGGTGTACTAGCAAAACCATTAACAGATTTATTTAACCAATCATTGTTAACAGGAGTAGTCCCAGAAGATTGGAAGTTAACAAATGTTGTGCCCATTTACAAGAAAGGTAATAGGGAGGAGTCAGGCAACTATAGGCCAGTAACCCTTACTTCAGTAGTGGGGAAAGTGATGGAAACCATGTTAAAGGATAGGATTGTTGAACATCTAAAAACACATGGATTTCAAGATCAGAGACAACATGGGTTTACTTCAGGGAGATCATGCCAAACTAATCTTATTGATTTTTTTGATTGGGTAACTAAAATTATAGATCAGGGTGGTGCAGTAGACATTGCTTACCTAGATTTCAGTAAGTCTTTTGACACTGTTGCACATAGAAGGCTTATCAATAAACTGCAATCTTTAAGTTTGGATTCCAATATTGTTGAATGGGTAAGGCAGTGGCTGAGTGACAGGCAACAGAGGGTTGTAGTTAATGGAATATATTCGAAGCTTGGACTTGTCACCAGTGGGGTACCTCAGGGATCTGTACTTGGACCCATTCTCTTTAATATTTTTATTAGTGATATTGCAGAAGGTCTGGATGGTAAGGTACATCTTTTTGCTGATGATGCTAAGATATGTAACAGTGTTGATGTTCCAGGAGGGATATGCCAAATGACAAATGATTTAGGTAAACTAGAAAAATGGTCAGAATTGTGGCAACTGACATTTAATGTGGATAAGTGCAAGATAATGCATCTTGGACGTAAAAACCCAAGGGCAGAGTACAGAATATTTGATAGAGTCTAACCTCAACATATGAGGAAAGGGATTTAGGGGTGATTATTTCTGATGACTTAAAGGTAGGCAGACAATGTAATAGAGCAGCAGGAAATGCTAGCAGAATGCTTGGTTGTATAGGGAGAGGTATTAGCAGTAGAAAGAGGGAAGTGCTCATGCCATTGTACAGAACACTTGAGTATTGTACACAGTACTGGAGACCGTATCTTCAGAAGGATATTGATACCTTAGAGAGGGTTCAGAGAAGGGCTACTAAACTGGTTCATGGATTGCGGGATAAAACTTACCAGGAAAGGTTAAAGGATCTTAACATGTATAGCTTGGAGGAAAGACGAGACAGGGGGGATATGATAGAAACATTTAAATACATAAAGGGAATCAACACAGTAAAGGAGGAGACTATATTTAAAAGAAGAAAAACTACCACAACAAGAGGACATAGTCTTAAATTAGAGGGGCAAAGGTTTAAAAATAATATCAGGTAGTATTACTTTACTGAGAGGGTAGGGATGCATGCCTTCCAGCTGAAGTGGTAGAGGTTAACACAGTGAGGGAGTTTAAGCATGCGTGGGATAGGCATAAGGCTATAGTAGCTATAAGATAAGGCCAGGGACTAATGAAAGTATTTAGAAAATTGGGCAGACTAGATGGGCCGAATGGTTCTTATCTGCCGTCACATGTTTCTATGTTTCTATAAATTCCTGCAGTAATAGATTGCATGTTAGTGGATTTTTAGGAGGCCGTTAATGAAACCAAGCACTTTGCAAAATGAAAACTTTATTTGGAAGTATTTTGTGGGAGTATAGTTAAAGGGTCACTCTGAACACCATCATTTCTTCATCTTAAAGGAAAACTTTACTGTTAGGAATACAAAGATAATTCCAAACACTAAAGGGTCCTTCTGCCCCCTGCCCCCTTTCTGCCCTCCCCTCCCCCCCAATGGTATGTAAAGGGTTAAAGCATATTTGAACACTTACCTGCTTCCAGCGTTGAAGGTCATCGGTGCTGGGCCCCTCTCCTTCTCCTATGATGTCAGCCAATTGAGGGGACCTATATGGTTTTAGAAGACACTGGATGTCCTCATTAAAAATTGTGAAGATGTCAAACTCTGTGAAAGTCCAGGATGCGCCTCTAGTGGCTGTAACTGCAATGTTTACAGCTGCATGGACAAAGGGACAGGAACAGTGTACCTAGACGCCTTCAATGAGAAGTCATCAGTGTGCCTATAGTGTCCCTTTAATGAAGTGCTTATGGTGCAGAGACCCTGTCCATGCACCCTTTCTTTCTAAAAAGTTTCACTCAGATAAATACCTGCACTGTCGATAACCCAGCCGAAATACTCTCTTCTTGGCTGACAATATTCATTTTGTGCATCGTTTGCATTTGGTTTCAACACACAGAACACACATAGCATGCTAACCTCAGATGCCTTGGACAGGATCATTATATGTGTGCACATTTTAAAAAAAATACTAATTGTTTTGCAAATAAGAATTATATGCATCACAAATGAATTTTGGACAGAGAACTCCAATTTTGTTATTTTCATTTTCATTTTGCAAGCTAGGTTTCAAATTAATCATAATTCACTCTCTGTTGAATAAACCCCTTTATTTAAGAGAATGACTTGAAAGGGAACGGTCACCATCGAATCAAACAGTGATGCATTTTCTATGATGTGATGCTCTGTTCTCTTTTAAATGTATAATAAAGATTAAGCAATTGACATTTCAGTCCAGTTCAATCCTGGCACAAACATGCACAAAAAGAATAGAATCCGAAACAGTGTTTCTATTTCTCACCCTTTCTCTATGCTCTACAGCAGGGGTGCCCAAAAGGTAGATCCCCAGATGTTGTAGAACTACAACTCCCATGATGCTTTGCATGCCTTTAGAACAGGCTTCCCCAAACTCCGGCCCTCCAGACGTTGCTGAACTACAACTGCCATTATTCTCAGCTTTTCTATATCATTCATAGAATCATGGGAGTTGTAGTTCAGCAACATCTGGGGGACCGGAGTTTGGTGAAGCCTGCTTTAGAATGACAAAACATCATGGAAGCTGTAGAATTTAAACATCTGGGGATCTAATTTTGGGCAAACCATCCTCTACAGGTTTATTTGCTAAAGTGAGAATTTTACATTTAAGGCCAACATCGCCAAACCTAAAACATACCTTATTTAGAGATTTTTTTCAGTTCAGCTACTTTTACCCTTAAATTTTAACATTAACTTTAAATTCTAACTTTAGTGAATAACTCTGTTAATGTTGACTGACAGGTGCAAATTGGGGACAAGCCAAGGTAGAAAGCATGATTGGAAATTCGGGAGCTCCAGAACAGAGGTAAATAAAGCAGCGATAATTTCTAGTCGTACTTAATTCCTCACTGCTCTATGAGCAAGCAATGCAACATGTTGCCCAATGAAAGGGTTAAAATAATTTGCTTTATTTAAATAAATATAAAAGTATAAAACTGAACATATCGAATAAAATAAAGTAACAAAAATAATAGTTATTACAAGGCATATTTTAACGGTTATATTCCCCTTTTGAAAGAGGTTATAAAAATAAACGCAATTGTGAAAAAATATTTTTTGTCCAAAAAAAAATCTTTTCCCAATTTCTTGTAAAACGCTGCAATTTTAAAATAATATTTTTCTATAGAAATAAGTTTAATCTCTAAGTTGCTCAACAGTAGAGATGTTGCGAACCGTTCGCGAACTTCCCGCAGCTTCAACATGGATGCTTCAACATGGATGCTGTCCAGGAGGTGGGAGGGTCTGGGAGGGAGGGTCTGCTGGAGATTGGCCGGGATGTGTCAGCTGACCAGAGCTCGCCGCGAACGGTTCGTGGCGAGCCGTTCGCGGGAAGTTCGCGAACGGTTCGCGACATCTCTACTCAACAGCTGATTAATAGAGGTTCATATTATCCCAGTTGAAATCCTGTAAACATTTAGAGAAATTTAAATCACATTTTTTTTTTTTTTGTGAAGTGTTCTATAAGCAAAACATGGTTTATGCACTAAACAGCAGATATTAGTAAAGTGAAAATGGAATTGCAAAATTAAAGTTATAATAGCCAAGGTAGGTGAACAATTATTATTTTTTTAAATCAGATATTTTGAATAAAAAGTTCACAATTCATCTTTTAACTTACTGTTTAGCGATTACCAACCTCTGTGTGTTAATCGCCAAAAACAAAAGAATTCTCTTTTTACCAAGCTGTGAATTTTTCACAAATTTGTAACTGTAACATATTACCAAAATCTTTGAAATATATGTGATAAAAAAAAAAAAATGACTCCCTGTGCAATTGGCTTTCACATTCATTCAATCCAAAAGGGTCCAAATCACTAACGTCTGAATTGTTGGGAATGTTAGATTGAGGTCAACATAGCTTTAAGTCAGCCAGGTTTTAATTTTTTAATTTTTTTTAAAATTTCATTTCAATTATTTTTGCCTAAAATGTTAAATTCACTGGTAAAATCTGGACAATTCACATTTTAGTAAATAATTCTCTATGTAGTTTATGTGATATCACATAAATGAGGAATAAGAAGTAAATATAGCTGAGGATCACAAGATAACAGCTTAAAAAATAAATAATCTGCAACTGATTTTTCTGAAAAATGTAAATTACACAAAAACTCACTTTTTAGTGAATAGACACCAAAGTATATTAGAATATAAACTTTCAAGATCCAGAGCAGTGGCACACAAAAGGTTGTGATACCAGTTATCATAAGATATTTCTCACATGTTAACAAGATAATAATCATGCTGAATGACATCTCATCCAGAGCCATATTTATATCTTATATGTCAATAAAGGGAAAAAAAACCCTATTTTTTTTAAAGCCCATTCTAGTAATGTTGCAATTATTTTCATAGAACTACTGGAATAATTAAGATAACAGAAAATAAATTGTATTGTGTATTTGATAAAGTATAATACACATGGTATGTATGTAAGTTAAGGACCATAATATTGAAAACTCTATCCTACTATCCGATCACAGTTTCCTCTAATTCCCATACCTAATAAAGCAGGGCTATAAACTCGGGTTTTTAGGGAAATTTGTCAAATTATAAACTCATAACAACCTATTCTATTTGACCTGGTTAATAGCCTACCCAGGTCGCTGTGTTCCTGAACATAGATGGTTCTAACCACAGTCATTTGCATAAGTCACTGCAGCTGTAGACTTCCCATTCTATTTCAGATGGCAAAGAAGGAAGTGTCACTTCGTCCCTTGATGTCCAAAATTTGTCCAAGTTGATAGTGTGGTGTATAATATGGCTGCTTTCAGCTCATTTAGCAGTTTCACCTATCAAATATAATGATAGGGCTGCAGCTAGGGGCTCTCACACTTTTCTATCCTTTAAACATATTTTCAACTGCCCCATTATCTGCTTTTGGACATATGTTTATAGGGTAATAAAGTATTTGAGACTCATGATTGCAGTGAACTCACAGCAGCAGCAGGAACCTTAAAGCTAAGGATAATTTTTAATTAATCTATTAATTAAAGTTTTTTTTTTTAATACATTATTTATTCAAATAACAATAGGCTTCACTTCCGGCCTAATCCTCCCAGCCTCTCTAACATCACACACACTACATACAGATTAACCCAATCACACCTGCTTATTATATCACTAATTAGATCGATTATATAAATATAGTATATAGTTGGATACAAAATTGCACATCTGTCAGTTAGTTTTCCCTTACAGATACAATGCCTCTCATTGTCTCATATCTTATCTATCTTATTTGTAATTACACTCCAGCTTTCAAACTGTATATGTATCATTCCACCAGCAGCACCGCTATTTATTTAAATTAACCTTAATTGGAATTGTTGCCAAATACTTGTATGTTTTGGAATATGTTAGTGCTCTGTGAATAAAAGTAATAAGATATAGTAAACCAATAAACATTAATGATGTTACTAATGCATATTCTGATTTTTACAAATTGTGTCCCCCTTCTAAAATATATTCAATAACAATTTCTTTATTCCTTAATGTTTCACATTTGCTCTATTATATTGCGCTAATATATATTAGTGCCCAATAGTGCCTGCTATCAGAGTACTTGGATCAGATAATATTGACTTAATAGATATATGGCTTTTGTCGTATTTGGATGCCTAAAGCCCAGGTGAGTGGCTATCATATATATATCATATTAGAATAAAATATTCCATTATGCTTTAGGAATTAAATACTAATTGACAATCTCTGCTTAAACCTCTGTTACATGACAAAGAATGCTTCATGTTTACAATATGTTAAAATATTACCTAGGTTAATTTTATTTCTTAATACGCCCATAAAATTGTATTACAATAAGCTCACACATTGTTTCATTTTTCTTCCTGTTTTAAATATTAATATACTTAGCGCATGTTTAAATTTGTAAGTCCTTACAATAATGAAATTGTGTATATGGTCACGTAATAAACTGAGCAGGGTGTGTACAAATGGTAGCTGCTGATAATCTTGCACTGATGAGTCATACGCGGCTCTACTGTAGTCTAGGTTCGATTGACAATCTCTCTCCGAGTTTCCGAATTAATTCGGCAAGGTCCTCTGTGTTGTGAGATTTTTCTTCAAGAAGTTCGTAACGGAGACTTGAAATGTCCTGTTTAATCTCCTTTAGTTCTCCTAAAATAATCACAAAGAGAAAATGTTCTACATGTGTCAGGTTGAAAACAAGTAAATGTCCACGTTTTAGAATTTACATAATATTCAGCATATCCAACACCCTACAACCACAGTCTCTCCCCATTCTCACATGCAATGAGCATTGTTTCCTCTTTCCAGGTGAACCTCACACTTCCTTTAAAGAATATATTATATTGATTAAAAAAAAAGAAGTCTGATTAGTATGTGTACTTATCTGTATAAATTAAGAGAAACATTTAGATATTTAAAGAAACATATATGTGCACACGTTATGTGTGTCAATTTATAGGTATGTCTATATGTATGTGTTAACATGAATCAAATTATACAGCAGACTCATCTTTTGGAAGACACTATATTTATAAAAATATAAAATTGGAGGAGTAACCAATGAAATGTGCCTCTGGATACCATTGGTTTCCAAAGTGATTACCCCACTTTTAGTATTCACTTTTTAAAATACAACACGTTTGGATAAACCTCCCTCAATTTCTCACACATTTAGACAAAACTAAACAAAGCGTGAAATATGTAACACAAAATAAAACATCCCCCCGACAACAAGCCCTTGCTTATTTTCAGGGGATAAAATAAGCCCTGGTTGGCTAATCTATGTTCAGGGAAGTTGCGGGATTCCATGTGCTAGTTGCTAATCTACGTTCAGGGAAGTTGCGGGATTCCATGCGCTAGTTGCTAATCTATGTTCGGGGAATTCGCAGGATTCCATGTGCTAGTTGCTAATCTATGTTCAGGGAAGTTGCCCTAAACGTAGATTTGCGGGATTCCATGTCCTAATGAACTGGTCTATGTTCGGGGGAAATTCCATGAACGTAGACCTGCTTTCTTGCATATGCTTGCTACCGTTATTTATCCAAAAAATTAAGACATCTCCTGAAAATTATCCCTGGAGCGTTTTTTGGAGCAATCATCAATATAAGTTGTAATTTCGTGGAAAAAAAGGTTGGATTTATACTCATAGATTGTCATATCACATGATTTAATACAGAAGGGTATATGTTTTGTAGTCCATCTTACTTATTAATGAAGTGAATTGTATTGACTGTCCACTTATCTCTTCCACTGTCAATAATATATCCAATAGATTTCCTGATGAGTTATTTTGAAAACTCAGGTGAATTATGAAATATATCAAAAAGATAAACATTGTATATACTGCACTAAAAACTATACTATCTAGACAGGTTATAGAGGTTAAATATGCCAGCGATGATTGTGTTGTGTTTTTAAAGTTAAATTTTTTTATGCCAAAATGAAAAACAAAAATTGTTAACTCACCTTCATTGACTTCATCGCTCTCTTTGTCTATCTGAGCTTTTAGAACATATCTCTTAATAAGGCGCTTCATTATTTTCTGAAGATACCGGATAAGGAAATATACAAAGTTAGCATTTTGCAGGATTGTGATCTATCAGTCAAACATACAGTTAAAATATTAAAATGTACTCTTCTAAATGCTGACATTTCTCAATCTATGGTTTTGGAAAAATATCCAGTGCAAAAAATCTAGTGAGGAATGTCTGTCTATTTACATATGTAGTCAAACACTTGGCTCGACTGTCGCTGCTGGCATTAAGTATCTTTTTACCATGGGTTTTGTTTATCAGATAACATTCATAGTTAAACAATTGTCAGGAAACTTAATTGAGAAAAGGACAAAACCATATAGACTATGATCAAAAGTCTAAAGTGGTGGAGAAATCTTCCAAGAGTTTGGAGATACCAACAAAAACATAGCCCGCATTCGCCCCTTTCTTACGCAAGATGCTACCAAGGAGCTTGTCCATGCTCTAGTAATTTCCTGCATGGATTACTGTAACCCTCTCCTGATTGGTCTCACCAAAAGCCATATTGCCCCGCTACAGTCTGTAATGAATGCTGCAGCTAGACTGATTTTCCCCTCTAGTCGGTCCTCTCACACCTCACCCCTCTGCCAGTCCTTACATTGGCTCCCTGTATGCTATAGGAGTCAATTCAAAGTGCTAACCCATACATTTAAAGCACTGAACAATTCTAGCCCCACTTATATCTCTTCACTAATCCATAGATATGCCCCTCCTCGTACCCTCCGCTCTGCCCGTGACCACCTTCTGACCGCTACGGCCAACTCTCGCTTGCAGGACCTCTCGCGGGTGGCTCCTCTCCTATGGAATAGCTTGCCTACTGCCATCAGACTCTCCCCTAGTCTTCAATCATTTAAGAAGCGCCTTAAAACCCATCCCTTCACGAAAGCTTATGGCCTCCCAGAGTAATCTCTACTTTACATACCTGTCTCCTGCTCTCTCCTATGGGAAAGTGCTTTGCTCTCTCCTCCAGCTCTGCTTCACTCCTACTTGATATTTCCTGTCCTAATGTTTCTAATACCCTACCTCCTATAGTCTGTAAGCTTGTCTGAGCAGGGTCCTCTTCAACCTATTGTTCCTGTAAGTTTTCTTGTAATTGTCCTATTTATTGTTACATCCCCCCTCTCAAAATATTGTAAAGCGCTACGGAATCTGTCGGCGCTATATAAATGGCAATAATAATAATAATAATAATAATAATAACAAGTCATACGCACAGTTTCCCCATGAAAGTGTCCTAGTTTGCTTAGTGTAACATTTAGTCATTGTGAGCGTACTCACCTAAAGGACTTATGTTTTCTATAACAGGAAATGCACTTGTATTAAAGGTATACTATAGTGCCAGGTACACAAAGCTGTATTCCTGGCACTATAGCTCCCTCTGCCTCCACCCTCCCTCGTGCGCCCCTCTCCTCCCACCACCCGGGTAAATAAAGGGTTAAAAACATTTTATTTTCTTACCTTATCCCAATCCCGTGTCCCTGTCCTGGATATCTATCAAAAGCCTGTGTAGGCACCATTGCTGGTATAGAGCCTGATTTGGCTCTATTTTTGTGAGTTTTATTCTTCTTTTCCTGGTTGTATAATTACTGTATCTTTACAAAAAGCACCATGTGTATCGGTTTTTATTTTTTGTCCGATGGGTTTATGATTCCTGTAATCCTGCAATTAGGTGTATATTGTGTGTTCGCTGTGGGTATAATAACCTTTGTATTTGTGTATGTGATTTTGAGGTGGTGGGGAATACACCTTTATTACACCCACGGATTATTTACTGTAGATATTGGACACAACTATCTTTGCACTTTCCTGGTGTCTTCAATGTGCAATGTGTTTGGTCCCTATAAAATGTGAAATGGGCCAGATATTTGCAAACCATAGATGTTATGTATCTGTTTCCTAACAGATAATATCAATGTCTCATTATATTTTCTTCTGTTGTTATTTTGTTCTTGAATGTGCACAGTATTATTTGGAAATTGGACTGTTATAACAAGCCTGTGCATATAAAATATCTATAAAACACACACACACACACATACATATAAAACTGTTTTATAGATATACTATATATATTTTGATACCAGTGATCTCTAATCTTGGCAGTCTATAGTACGGTGCTCGACCAAGGTTTAGGAAGGGTAGTTATCACAGCTCCATATTTAAATGGGTCCCAATTACTCATTAGTCTAGCTTCCCCCTACATCAGAACTAATGATGCCACCATGATACTTGGCCCATGAGTGTTAGAGTGGCATAGCACATGCCACCATACACAAACCTACATCCTGACCTCTATTTAACTGCTTCCCTACTTGGGAACACTTGAGGGAAGGACCATATCTCTCATGTCAAGTAGAGAGCACTCTGGAGTCTGTATAATACGTTTCAAACTGCTGCTTTATTCAGCAAGTACAGTGATACATGCAATAGTGGACGTTTCAGTCCATACAGACTTTTTTTTCAAGACAATTTGCGAAGTTTGAAACGTATTATACAGACTCCAGAGTGCTCTCTACTTGAACTATATACATTTTGGTGGGAACTTCGAGTGCCGGGACCAGGGAAGTTTTAGATATATATCTACACACACACACAACATCTTATCTATTGGCACTAAAGGATAAATTCTGAGTGACAAATCAAAATAAACGTGCTTGTTTTCAGGAATTCAAATGATCACCTGATCTCCTCAAATTCAGACAAATTGCAGCTCAGAACAAAATATATCTCCAAATCTAGTGAACTATGTGTTCACTTAATCTATGTTCAATCAATGCATGTACACAGTTCTAAAGCATTAAAAAAAAAAGTTGACACCAAAAGAGAAG